ATATAAATAAAGTTTTTTAAAGTGTTGGAAACTGATAGCAGAACTGGTATTTAATGACTGCTCAGTGTCAGTGATGCGAGAAGGAGCGAAAACGAAGTCCTACAGCACTTCGAACATAATTAACCATCTCAAAAACCACCTTTCAAGTCAAGTATATCTATTAATGCACTGCCACTTATGCACTTTTCACTTGTTGCTTAAGAACAGGTTGAGTTTAGATTTGTGAAAATTTACAAATTTGCACTGTTCGAGTGTTGTCGTTGTGTTAGAGAGAGAAAATATGAATACATTTGACATTAAACATAATCCAAGTTGAAGTGTTACATCATTTTCAGCCCCTTTTTGGCATCAGCATTTGGCAGCAGGCCAAATTGACAAAGACCATGCAGAATAATGTAATATTTTAATTCTACAGCAGAGGATGTTATGTAGACTCTGTAAGTAGGTCTAGGGAGAAAAATATTGGTATTGGACAAATACGTTTTAACATATTGGCATATCGGATATTGACCAAAAATCCAATGTTGTGCATCGCTAATCTAAATACATTATGAATGATTAGAATATGAAGGGGAAAACAAACAACCCATATGCAAGATAAATCTACTCCTGAAAATAATTCATAATATTTTAGTTTGAAACAAACTACAGGCGATATCTAGAGTTTCAGAAAGGAGCAGGTATTGTACCTTTGTGCTGATTCATAATGACAGCGTCTTCGCTTATTCCATGTTGTCCAACCAGAGATTTAAATTGTTCCAAAACAGGAGGATCAACGCTCAAAGTTCGACCTGAGGAAAGACAATTTTATTTTGCTTCTACTGTAATGTTAGGAAATTCTTCAGAAATCATCACTCAGGAGATTGAAGTTAGAACAAAATGCATTAAAAAGTACTTGCATGGAGAGAGATATTTGCCCGTACACCCAAAATGAGCATCCCAAAATACAAACATCTTTCTCACACCAACACACAAAGACAATTATTTATGCAGTCCAAGCTGAACCAAGCCGAAGAACGTTTTCTAGCTGGCAGACACTCTTTTCATTGTTTTGGCATAACTGAGGACTTTTTAAACAGTTAAATGTGAAGGAAAGTGAGCAGACAAAACTTAGAAAGACACTCTGACATCTAATCTTTCTCTATCCTGTAACATATTAATAATTTTCTTTAACTAATATAAATTGATGTAAAAAGGTTCATGCACATGTAAAAGTCTGTTTTATTCTGTTCTGAATTATCAGCTGATTGGTGGATTTTGTTTATTGGCAAGATTGTTACCAGAAGAGATTTCAAACTTTTCATCTAAATTTTTTTTTATGAACGGGATCATGAGAAAATATTCTTAATATCAGGTCCCAGTACAATCAAACATGTAAACTTGACACGTGTAAGATGCAAACAGATGAATTCACTTACCGTAAAGCCTAAGTATGGTGGTTATATTTCCTGATGGTTTGTCGGTGCTCAGCTGCAGTATCATTGCATATTCGTCATAGTTGGTGCGAACCACGAAGGAATCAACATCTGCACTGAACTCTGCAGAGGAAAACCTGAGTTAAAAACATCACAGGAATCTTCTTTTGTAAAAATCACAAGAAGGAATGAAAAACATACCGGTCCTTGCAACATGGTGAAAGAATTGCCCTGGAGTGTTGGTCAGACTGTAAACAATGGAGGTCTCCTTACACGACCCATTCCTGAAATTAGGCTTTAATGTTTATTTGAAATACAACATATCTTTGATTTTTTTTTTTAATATGAACTACAAACACGAGTCTGACCTGAACGTGAAAGCTGTCATTGTGAAGTTTCCCTCAGAAGTGACATTTCCCAATTCCAATGCAACAATGACAGGGTTTGCCTTCTTGCGCAGCATATAATGAGGACAGGTAGAAACCACAGCGATTTCATACCACCTCCCAACAAACTGCAGGGAGAAACAAACATTTAATGTACTACAAGACTCCTGCATGGGGTGTCTGATACAAAACAATAGATGCAGAATGCAATGTGATGTGATACTCTACAAGAAAATACAATATAATATGATGCAAAACAGGTATACAAAGAAGAAACATGATATGATTTCATTTGACGATACAGTAGTACCACGTTTATTGAGGGGGGTTCTGTTCTCAGTACCCACATGATAAGTATATACAGTATATATATATAACCCTTCCTTCAATCGTGCAATGTTCTAAAAATGTTTCTAAGCTCTGAACTCTCTAAAAGAGCACAGCATGTCATGATCTCTGCTCCCTCTGTCACCTGCCAGCGCTCTCGGCCACGCCCACTTCTCCACTGCAGAGCGGAGATCATGACATGCTGCAGGAGGGAGCTTCCCCCTGCACATGTGGGCTGCACACATGTGCTAAATAATTAAATATAATTTATTAAAAAGAAATAAAAAAAATCCATGTCGATCTTGTGGCTCATCCATAAATCGGTCAATTGTGTGACATGTCCAATCTTACTTTGAAAAACCGTGAAAAAGCAAGTCTGCGAAAGTCGAACTGTGAAGTAGCGGTAGTAGTAGTTCATGTAAAATGAGAATTGCACACTATATGATGATATACATGATATATGATTTAATCAGATATGATATACGATTTGATGCAATTTATTATATAATTAGACAAAAAATGTGATATATGATATATTATATAATTAACATGTTATAATATAACAAAACAGCCTAAGGCACACCTGTGTAATAATCATGCTGTTTAATCAGCATCTTGATGTGCCACACCTGTGAAGTGGATGGATTACCTCGGCAAAGAAGTGCTCACAAACAGATTTACATGTTTGTGAACAATACCTGAGAGAAAAAGGCCTTTTGTGAACAGAAAAAAAAGACTTAGATTTTTAAGTTCAGCTCATGAAAAATGGGAACAAAAACAAAAGAGCTGTGTTTGTATTTTTGTTCAGTATATAATTATCTGATATGTGATATGAGATCCTGGAGCCTGAGGGAGGGGTTCATCGGCGATCGCCTGGCGACTGGGTCTCTACCCACAGGGCTCGGTTAGGCTCAGCCCAAATGAGCAACATGGGTTTGCCTTCCTGTGGGCTCACCACCTGCAGGAGGTGCCAGGGCTGCCCGTTGTCACAGATTCTGTTCATGACTTTCATGGTCAGAATTTCTCTGTGCAGACGGGGTGGAGGGAGTCCAGTTAAGTGGCCTCAGGATTCCATCTCTGCTCTTTGCAGATGATGTGGTCCTGTTGGCGTCATCATCATGCTGCGATCTTCAGCTCTCACTGGAGCGGTTCGCAGCCGAGTGTGAAGCTGCTGGGGTGAGAATCAACACCTCCAAACCTGAGGACACGGTCCTCAGTCAGAAAAGGGTGGATTGCTCTCTTCGGGTTGAGGGTGAGGTTCTGCCTCAAGAAGATGAGTTCATGCATTTTGAGGTTTTGTTCAAGAGTGAGGGAAGAATGGAGCGTGAGATTGACAGACGGATTGGGACAGCATCTGCAGTATTGCGGACTCTGTGCCGGTCCATTGTAGTGAAGAGGGAGCAAAGTTGTAAGGCAAAACTCTCTGTTTACCAGTCAGTCTATGTTCCTTCCCTCACCTATGGCCACAAACTCTGGGTAGTGACTGAAAGAATGAGAACGTGGATACTGATGGTTGAAATGAATTCCATCTGCAGGGTAGCTGGACTGTCCCATAAAATTTGGGTGAGAATGTTGGGTTTCTGGGTTCTTGTCCTGTCATCCTTGCGTTTTTCCCTCCTTGTAATTTCTGCTCCTGTCACACCTCCCTGTAATCCTAATCACCCCAGGTGTTCGTCTTTTATTTCATGTCTCTGTATCAAATGCGCCCACCCCAACTGCGGAATCTCGGCGTCATTAGTGCTCGTGTGCAAGTTTTTTTTTTTTTTCATTTTCATGCCTTCAATTTTCAGCCAAAGATTAAGAGCACGTTAGGATTTTTATTTTTTTTGCCTCCAAAACCTGTTGTCACATTCATCACTTACTGTCTGTCCAAACAAGTCTCACTTGTAAATGAGTCTTCGAGGCTCAATGTGATTTATCTGTTTAAATAAAGGTTGAATGAATATATTCACCATCTGTGGTTCTTCCTCTGTCTGTGGATTATGCTCTCAAACCTGTTGTTCTGTCTCCCTCCTTGTTCCCTCCTTAAAAAGTAAGTTTGCTGCCTCGCCAGCATTTTGTTGTTTGATTATAATAAATTTAGTTATTTTACATCTCCGTTGTCTACCTGCACGTGGATTCAACATAATAAGCAGAACATGATAGAGAAGTTCAGTTATCCGGGAGGGACTCGGAGTAGAACCGCTGCTCCTCCACATCGAGAGGAGCCAGTTGAGGTGGTTCGGGCATTTAAGGATGCTTCTTGGGTACCTCACTAGGGAGGTTCTCAAATGGGAGGAGACCCCAGGGAAGACTCGGGACACGCTGGAGAGTCTAGTCTCTTGGAAGGTCTGGGAACACCTTGGAATCCTCCCAGATGGGCTGGATGTGGAGAGACATATCTGGGCCTCCCTGCTCAAACTGCTGCCCCTGCAACCCAACTTTGGAATAAGCAATAGATGATGGATGGAAGCATAATTCGATATATGATATTTTATATGATATAATATTAATTTGATGTGATACCAAACAATATGCATTGTCGTTCCTATGGAGACATTTGTTTTAGGCTCAGTTTTGTCTCATTATGTAATGACTAACAATGAGCACAACCTTGTGAGAAACTTCAAGACAGGACATTCTTCGTCTAAAAACAGGAAGTTAAAGAAGAAAAAAAGCCATATTTGTGTGAGAATGCGTATTTGTCATTGCCAACAGATGTATAATATTTATCATGAATAATGGAGACTCACCCGCTCAAGCTCAAAGTTCTCCTGTGTGAGGATTGGACCACTGGGATGGCTGCAGGTCACCCCGAGGACCAGAAGCATCAAACACGTCACTTTTTTCATCGTGAAGGTCTGTTTTGATCAGAAGCACTTCTACCACCACCACCATTCCCTATTTCTGAGTCTCCTTTAATGTTTGGGAGTTTCCACCCACATCATTACAGAAAAACAACCAGCTGAGAGAGCAAAGTTCTGATGATCACTTTATCTCTTCTTGTGTTTCAGTACACACTAGAGTGGTTTTTTGCCCCGAATAATCAGAAATAAATCACTGGACTTTGTCATTTGAAGCTACCTGCAAACATGCAGGTAATCAATACAGGTTAGCTTTTAACAGTGATGGCTTCACTGTTTGGCACAAACTGTCCAGTCACTTATGGTCAACCTGCATTCAGTTACGGCTATGCACATTTCTCCTTTTTCAACACTGCATTTAAGATGAAAAAAAGTTTTGTAAGCTCAGTCATCCAGGTAGAAAACAACAAAAATGTTTAAATCACATCATCTGGCTTTGTTTCTTTAAGCGAAGAAACGTTTCGTCCCCCATCCAGAGGACTTCGTCAGTCTGCAGCCTGTCAACCACATCTGTCCCATAGGTAGCCTGTATTTTAGGTGACACTCAAAAAGTTCATGGTGTGATCACAGGAGCATCTGTGAAATTCAGTTTTATATTTGCCAATTTACCATTAGAACAAGAAAAAATGTGTGCAGCCGTCAATGTTGGCTTTTTAAAAACTAAAATGTAACAGAGCTCAGCAACCAGTATTTAAGGAGACATAATGTAACAAAGAAACTGTAACTTAAACAGATTTTACACATTTGACTGTATTTAGCTTTTGTGTTTGCTTCATTGTTTGGGCTAGGAGGGGAACGTAAATATTTCAGAATAAATTTAACAGCTAATTTATGTTGTGATTTGCCATGTTTGCCAGTCCAAACTGTCAGGCTTATTACCAAAAGTTTATTGATATGCAGTGGTGGGATGTAACTAAATACAAGTACTTCGTTACTGTACTTGAGTACATTTTTTATGCATCTGTACTTTACTTAAGTAGAGTTAAATGTGGGTATTTTTGACTTTTACTCCACTACATTTTACATCAAGTATCTGTACTTTCTACTACACTACATTTCTATAATGCATTACAAGTTACATTCACGGTGTGGTTTCTTGATTTGTTTGTTAGTTTGAAAGTAACTAATGATGAGAGGGGAGTTGGTCCATTGAATCACTGCCAAGTGGGCAGGTAACGTTAGACCTGCCTTCAAGAAGAACTGGACCAATGACGTATATTCTAGTTACGTCATTGAGCTGGGTGCACCCACAGCACCACCCAAAATGGATTCCACCGCGGAGAGTTAACCAGAAGATACACACCACCCATGGCCTTATTGAAAGACCATTGAAAGACCATTGAAAGACCATTTACTACTGGACTCAAAAAAACTTTGAAAACCAACTTCTTCTGAACTTGAACAAGAAATTCTTGCTGCAACATTAAAAAGTGTCAGTTCATGGGATGTTAGGAGACAAGAGATGTCTCCAAATGGCTCGACACTCGGGTTCAAATTTTGGAAATGGTGTCAGGAAGTTAAAACATTGTTCACCATTACAAGGTTGACTAGACAGTATTTTAACTAGAGTTGATGACAAACTGGAGTTGAAATGAGCAGATGTTCCTTTGTTAGGTCTAATGCTTCTTTTTTCAGGCAGACAATTTTTACTTAAATGTCTTTACTGCAGTTAAACTTACACATTGGTTTTGCTTTGTGTTAAATAAAAACTTTCAAAAGGTAAAATCATTCCTCTTTCTTATTTTGATTAATGGCATTTAACTCATCCCTGAAATTCTGATGCACAGAATCACAAAGTCCAAGTGTGAACTGTGTCACAGAATAAAAACATGTATTATCTGCAGCATTGTTCATTAAAATAGCTCAACACTATTAATGTATTACAGAAAATATACATACAGCAGGCACACTTAATGATACTGTAGACCATTGCATTAGGTAATACATTCAGCAAGTACTTTTACTTTTAATACTTTATGTATTTTTAAAAGTACTTGCCTTTACTTAAGTAAACACGTTAATGTGGTACTTCTACTCTTACTAGAGTACATTTATGTTTGTTTATTTGTACTTTTCCTTAAGTACCGAGTTTGAGTACTTTCTCCACCACTGCTGATATAATATGGTCATTAAGAGCTACAAGAGTTTTTATTACTAGAAGCATCTTGAAGGACACACTCTGAAAAAAGGGATAGAGTGGGTTTGATGTCTCACTGAAGCTCCTTGTAATTAACTGAAATAAAAGGAGCTCAGAAGTTGTTTGTTGTTGATTTCAGCCATCCATCCATTTTTCAAAACTCACTTCTCCTTTTCAAATTATGGGGTCGCTCTTCTGTCGTGCTGCCTGTTGTATTTTTTACAAAAGTGTATTATAAACAATTTATTAAGACACAGAAAATTGTCAATTTATTATTTTCAAGCACCAAATGAATGTGACTATGTAGAACTATGAATAAAATAAATTCTTATACAGACATAAACATTTAAAAGTTAAATTTTTCATTCAGATTTGTTAAGAACGAAACTATAAAACTACAAAAAAAAACAGTTTGACGTATAGCAGTTTGCATTATTGGTGTTCGTGTGGTTCGTAGTTGTAGGAAAAGCTGACGGTCGAAGCACGAACACCTTCATGTTCAGCCGGGGTAAACAGGATACCTAAAAAAGTAAAACCAACTTATTTATACAAAAGATTTACGAGTATTTGTCATGCACACACATATTTTCACATATAATTACAAAAGTCTGCTTACCTAACGTCCAGATCCTGACGGGGGACAATTATCTGTTGGTGAGATCAAGTTCAAGTTCAGGTAAGTTTTATTGTCATTCACATCATGTGGTACATGAGGTGGAATGAAATTGTGTACACAGTTACATCCAACAGTAGCAAAAATATAAAGTGTAAAAAGAAACAGTAAATAAGGATCTAAGACAGGGCTATTCAACAAAACTGCTCAGGGGGCCACAGTTCCTGAAAGCCAACAGCTCGGGGGCCCCGGACATCCAGCAATAAAAATCATTATGTAAATAAACCTAAGTTTACAATGGTCTGTTACTTTTTAAATTGATTTATTTTATTGCATTGAATCATAAATGCAATAAACAGAACCCAAACCCAGAACCCCCAACAAAATATATATATATAAATTTTTAAATTTTGTATGAAGCGGGCCGTATTTAAGTCACCTGCGGGCCAGAAATGGCCCATGGGCCATCAGTTGAATAGCTCTGATCAAACATATAAACTAAGAAATACGCTAAACACTAATAGTGCAAAACAATACGCTGAACAGCAGCACGAACATGAGTCCACATAAGTAGATGAGTACGAATGAATACAGCAGCATGAAATAATCAGCAGCATGAATAATCAGCAGCATGAATAATCAGCAGCACATATAACCAATCAAAGTGGCTTTAAAGTGATTTTTTTCCTCATACACTGTAATAAGAAGAGGTCCACTTCAAAAGGACTGTCTCAGCCGTCAGTGTTTATGTGCACGTTGAGCGGTGTAGTGTTCGCCTTCACCTGCTGGAGGTGGAGTCAGAATGGACTCTCTGGGGAAACCACGGGACAAAGAAAGAGCTTTGAACTTCTGGACGACATCAGTCCGGAGTCTCTGAGAACGGCCTGCACAGACACAAGACAGAACCGTAAAGATGGACGACACCGACCCTGCAGAGGAGCTAAAACTCATAGAAATAAAGTATAACAACACTACGTGTATATTTGTGAGTGTGTCTCACCGTAAAGTGCCACCTGAGTGTATTCTCTGTTAAAGACCTTGTGCTTGATGACCAAAGCATATTCGCTGTAGTTCGTGTCCACCACTGTGATGTCCTTCACCATGTTATGACCTGAAAGAAAACACACATTTATTCAGTCCTTCATTTTAGATAATAAAGTAAAAAAATATAGTAAAACTGAGATAAAGTTTGATGAATATCGGTTTCTTAAAGCAGTGAAAACCACACAGTTTAAACGTTTATATTGTGCAAATTCTGCTGTGGAAAAATGCAAAGGTAAAAAAAAACTACACAGAAAAAAGGATAAAGTATTTAATCTAGTATGCAAATGAATGTATAGAAATATTAGAAATACATTGTATACTGAGGCATTTTAAACACAAGTTAAGTCATTAAGAATATTAAAAATATATATTAAATAGCTTCATAAGTAAACTGAAAATGTTTTTAAAACTTAAAGTAAAAAAAAACTTATTTTAAGTGAAAAAAAAAGAGCAACTGTGGGTGAAAAGTGTCCAATTATACTTTTTTTTTTTTTACATTATCTTACTTTTTTAATAATTATGGATTTTTGTTGTTTGTTTGCTTGAAATTAAAGTAATACTGCAAACTAAATACTTAAACCCAGCTTCACTCAAGTTTTACTTAAATTTAAAAGACAAAACTCACGTGTGCTGAAGTAGGTGAACTGTCCGGGAACGCTCGCCTTGTCATATTTATAAAACTGAGTCACACATCCTACAGGTCTGAAGACACAGAGGGGAAACCGTGTGAGTGTACTCATCTTCAAACCAGTCACGTGTCTGTTATTTCTGACACGTGTGTTTATTTTAGTCACAATTTATAAGCTTGGCGTCTCTGTGTGTTCATGTGTTCTGCCATCATGTGAACTCACAGGGCTTCCCACATCGTCAGGTTGACGTTGCCGTTGGGCAGAGGTGTGATGACGCCCATCGAGATCTTTATTTTGTCTCTGAGGGGAACAAAACCCGGGGAGTCGTAGGCGAAGCCAACACGGTACCATTTACCTGCAAACTACACACAAAATCATTTTTTAAAGGATGACAGCTGAGATTTTATGAGAACCAAAAGTAATACAAAATATTAACTAGGTTTTTTTTTTTTTTTTTTACTAATTATTTAGGATTTGATGCAGATCAGAGCAGTAATGCAACTCTTGCAGCTGTTCACAAATTGATTTTAGGTAGAAATATTTAACTTTGATTAAAAGTTAACGTGACAGAACTTAATGATATCATAATTTAAAATATGTCGGGAGCACATACACACATCACATGTATTTGTTTCCTTTTCTGGACTACCTACCTACCTACCTACCTACCTACCTACCTACCTACCTACCTACCTACCTACCTACCTACC